CTCCTGTCTATTGTTCCATCTTAGCTCGTAGCCTTGAGCTCGGCCTTTCCAATCTGGTGTTCTTCAGATATATTGGGATCTCAACTCCCAAAGCAGCCTGTTGGCCATGGTGATTTGGAAATATTAGGGAAGGTTGAGCTGTCAGATGTGGGCTACCAATCCTAGGAGGAATACATTTCTCACTGGAAGAACAGATGTTCTAATTGCCATGAATTAGGCAACTGAGAAACCTTTCCTGAAGATGTATCCTCTGGACCTCAAGGATTAAGCCTTAACCAGTTGACATTGTCATCTCTTCTCTGGCAAACTTACTGAGTGGATGGTTATGGTACAAACACTGTGGACTGCAGCTGATTATCTGGCCCCATTTCAGTTGGGTTTCTGGCTTAGTCTTGCTACAGAAATGACCATGAGTCACTCTGATTGATGACTGATGTGAGCAAACTGGAGAAATCTGATTCTGGAAATCCTCTAATATCTCTCAGTGGCTTTGAGTATCTTTGACCACATTATTTTAATGGATGGGTTCTCTAGTTTGAGAACTGTCCACACAATATTTTGATATGTTGACTGACTTGAGCTTGTTTGGAGGTTCTAGCAGGGGAGCACAGCTATCGTACACCCTTGACCGAAGATTGGTACGCCCCTTCTATCTGGAATGGTTGTCCAATTCCACTAAGTGCACAGCTTCGGGAGGGATGCACATGGATCGGTGAGGGAGGAAGGGAACACCCGCCTAACCAGCCAGATCAGCCGAATCAACCCTGGTGATCAATGGGGTGACAGATGTCACAGCCAGATCGCCCTCACATCCGACTGGAGATATATTTCCTCCTGTAATTAGTCAGGTCTTATCTGTTCTTCTGTCCATTCTCTGTGTCTCTCACTACACTGGATCTTATCCAAAAAGTGCAACAAGCAATCTTAGGCACTGTAGTCCCTTAGTTCAATCTTTGATTCTACTTACTGAGAAGTAGAACTACTTATTGAGAGAGCTATTTTGGAGTTGAAGCAATGAATTTCTGTCTCTGTCTTCCAGAAAAATCAATCTTTCATCATTATAATAGTGGTTTGTGCAGTAGGCTTTTTATCCTACTCAGTTATCTAATTGACATTGTGTGAAATTAATTTGGAAATGTGAACAACATGAAGGGACATTTTATCATGTTTGGTGGATGTGTAACAAAGCCAAAAAATGTTGGATACAGATACATTCACTAATTCAGAAGACTAATGTACAATTGAAACCAGAGGCCTTTCTTTTGGGACTAATGGACAGACGGCTGGAAAAAACTCATGGAACTTTGTTTTCATATATGACAACTGCAGCAAGGTTATTATATGCTCAAAAGTGGAACGGTTTGGCACTACCCACAACGGAGGAATGGTTGGTGAAGATGATGGAACATGCAGAGATGGCTAAACTGACTTATTTGATCAGAGAAAAGACAGTATCTATGTTTATTGCTGACTGGAAACCCCTTATAGACTTTTGCATGAAACAGGAAAAAAAATGAACTGATGATTTGTGGTTTTGATGATTAGGGAAAAAAACCTAGAGAATAGAAAAAAGAGAGCTTTTCTTTTTGTAACCATAGAGTAAGAGATAATTTTGTAATCATACTTGCATTTGCTGCAAAGAAAATAGGAAGCTTCTTCTTTACATTTCTTTTTATCTTTTCTTTTTGCACTTTTGTCCTTTCTCTTTTCCCTTCTTTTCTTTCTTTCTGTTACTTTTTAATCTTTTAAAAACTTTTAATAACATTTATATATATATAAATTCTGTGAATTGTGAATTGAATTTGATATGCAACTTTTAAAGACTTAATAGAAAATTGGAGATCCCCATTTTGTATAAATAATGTGAAACTGTCTTAACGTCTGTTATCAAAAATTTCAGTAGATCTTGGACTATGATTTATTTAGCAAAAAATAGTATTTCAGATGTACTGGATCCCATTACATTTGTATGGAAAAGGAATTAGGAATGTATAATTCATCATGTTCTGAAGATGCAATGAGAATTATGCCTTATTAAATACTGTATATGTTTTTGAGTTGTCCTGAAATTGTTACATACTGGGAAGAGGTCACTACACATAATAGTTTGACATTAATTTGACAAACTACATACTTATTAATGGCTGGATAGTGGAAATGGATTTTCTGTGCCCTTCTTATTGCTAAGAGACTTGTCCTTCCACATTGGAAAGATAAATGTATGGCCCCACTAAATGCCTGCTGTCATTTGCAGTTTATGAATGATATTTATTAATGAATGGCTTACAAACGTAGATTATGTATGGACGATTATAATGAAATATGGTCGTCCTTTATTGTAACTGTTGTGTAAAACTTTATATACACATATGCACATATAAGAACCCTCCATATATATAACATTTTTGTTGCTGTTGTTTTTTTTCTTTCCCTCTCGTTTTCCTACTGTTTGGGTTTCTTCCCCCCTGTCCTGTTTCAATAAATAACGGGCAAAAGGCCTTGTCCCATTATGTGTGCATCACCCTGGAGGTCTTTCTCTTTAGCAAGATTCAGTGCCTGATCATCTACACAGCAGAATCCACAGCAAACCATGGTGAAGCCAAAGTGATGGCAGGTGTCGGGTGACATCCTCATACAAATGCCACCTGATACACTTGTATTGAGTCACAGCATTGGTGTGATTATGCATGTTGCACCCTCCGTGTTTACCGGAGGAATGTGCAATCCGTCCCCAACTCAAGTTTCTCTGGGTCCTGAGCCAGTTACACCATAATTGTGCTGCCCATTTTGTCCGGTTTAGTGCATTGATTTAATAATACCTTTGCTATCTAACTGTCCTGGTAAATCAGACAAGGAAAACAGACTTCCTGACTCATCTCTTGAAATACAGAAGGAGTGGCTGAGTTTCGCACTATCGCGGTATGGGAGCTTTTGATACAGCTTTGCACTGAGATACAGTAGAGCTATAAAGATGGTGTGTGTTTGTGCACTTCACAGAATGGAACACTTGATGTATTGAATAATTTTAGATTTGTTTCATCTTTCTTTTTATTTGTGTGTAATGCATAACAAGTGGTCTTTGACTGTAAATCAAGTTTACTTACTTGTTATTGGGTCTTTCTCCCAAGGAAAGCTCACCTGGTACCTAATACAGTGTATTTGCCAATGCAAACTCCTTTTCAAATTGGCAAAGCTTTTAATATATGTGTTCTTCTGGCCACAATCGTCTTTGCTGTTTTATGATGTTGTCATTCTGTTTTGTATTTTCACTCTGTTTTGTTTTGTCAACTGACCAGGTAATTGTTTATTGGAAGACAGATGATTTTTTTTTGAAAGACCTAATAAATAAATGCTCAAAAAGTGTTGAACCATTTACGTACAGGGAAGAAATAATGGGTCTATTTAGGGACATCCTAGAAGTGGGGATTGAAATTGCGCCCTGTCCCTGGAGACACCAGTCTTTGCAAATGACCTGCTCTACTGCCTAGCCTCATTGTTGGTCCCATTAAAGTTGACACAACATTGGAAAGTACATAATTTGGTTAGCTTTTTGAAGTTTCCACTGAACAACCCCTCCTGTCCAAAGCAAGAAGTTCAAGAGTCCACGTTAGCCAGAAAGACGAGTTATTCGCCCTGGAAACTCTCTCAGGTACAGATGAGCTGATTGGTAATTCAATACTCAAGGAAAGTCATTCTACACATGCTCAGAATTATTCAGCTGTATTCTGATAAGGAACTGTGCTTTTTAAAAAAGAGAGAAAGATAAAAGATAATGGGGCCTCTCCACATTTTATCCCAACAGCTGGTCCCTCTTCCATCAGGCTGCAGAGAGAGAGAGAAGTGGGGTTATGTCATTAGAGCTGTTGGCAGACAGTTGCCTTGGCCTCTCTCCGCTGCTGTGCTAGCCACCATGACACTTTCTCTGCCCTGCCCAGCCCTTTTCCCCCTTGCAGGCCGGGCAGGATGTGGATTGTCTTCGTAGTGATGCATTTGAAAGTTCCCCCGAGAGCCTTTCCAGCTAAACTGCAAGCCAAAACCATTTGAAACAAACTAAGTTTTGGAAAGCAGTGTGTGTGTGTGGATTGGAAGATGCGAGGACTCCAGAGCCATTCTGTCAAGACCACACATCTGAACAATGCCTTGCTTTTTATGTTCTGTTGTCACCTGGGCCTTTTTAACTGACCTGCGCATGAAAAAATAAAACATTTTATGGGAAAGCAAATTTCAATTCATGGTTTCCTCTGTCATACAGTTTGCTATAGGACCTTGATGATGATGATGGTGATGGTGATGATGATCTAGTGCAGTATTTCTCAAACTTGGCAACTTTCAGATATGTGGACTTCAACTCCCAGAATTCCCCAGCCAGCTGGCTGTTGAAGTCTGCATATCTTATTGCCGATGTTGAGGAACACTGATCTAATGTTTTAAAAAATCTATTTTGCATTCCTTCATTATAACTTTTACAAGAGGATTTTAAAAATCCCACATCTCTATCTATATTTCATTTGATGGGGCTTTTTTTCAGAATGTATAGATAAAAGTTGAGATTTCTCCAACAACATTTGGTGAACCTTTTACAGAAACAGGCAACTTTACTGCTGTTGGAAGCACTGGCTATCCTTGCCTGCCTGCATTTCTTTGCTTTTCCTCCCCCCTCCCCAATCCCACACCTTCCTTATGTCTCTTCAGAGGTAAGAAAATTCATCTTAGCTCTTGGCAATGACTAAAAGGCAGTTGGTGGTAAAAGTTATCTACACATAGCTCTGGTCAGCCTGAGAGGAAAAGCTATTTAAAAAGTTGCTAGCCACAGCACCTCACTCTCAGCCAATCAGACAACACCTTTCCTTGCACACACCTACCTGGCCGGCAGGTGCATAAAAAGAAAAAAGGGATGACGCTCCAGAGCACTGAGTAACAGCTGAAGAGCTGAGACTTGATTTTCCCCCTTCCCTGAATTCCTGCCATTTCTCCAGTCCGCCTTTGGAGATCTGTCAATCATGCTTTTTTGGCACAGCCAGCCCGATCATTACTGGCCAAGTCCGGGAGAAATGTACCCTTGCTCTGGCAGCAATCTCATAAGGTGAGCAGCCTTCTTTTTTCCACCCCTCCCTTTCCAGCCATGCCAACAGCTGAGACTTACAAGAAGGGAAGAACATGCAAGTGAATCCAATTGTTTAGGGTAGGATGTATGAAATAGTTGTGGAGATTCAGCTTCCAGAATGTTGCTTATTTCCAGAGAATGTCTGGAAAGCTCACAGTCAGACTATCAGGGATGATGAAGACTTGCTATAGGTTGTTCTTTCTCTTCCCAGTATCTTGTATGTAGAGCTGTCCTTCTTCTGACATAAGATTTGCATGGTGCTCTCCTGGAGATCTGCTATAAAAAGACTTCTCCTCCATAAATAAGTTGGTCTCCGCTAAATTTAAAGCCATTTAAACCTGAGCGTCACAGTTTCTCCCATTCTGTGGCTAAATGAAGGAAATGAACTGTTGGCATCAGGGCCAGCTCAAGGAAAAAAAATAAATGGCACACGTTCTCCAGTTAATTTGTATAAGTTGGCATGAGTGACAGGTGGATCTCATTTGGGGACTGGCAATAGGACCGTGTCAGTCTTAATTTCTGGAGAAGGAGGTGGGTAGCTTAGCACAGCAAGGGGTGTGGGGCCCATCTTTCCATCCTCGGACACCCTGCTGCTGCTTGAGAAGACCACTGTCCTTTGTCTAGTGGTAGGGCTGGCCATGTTTAACATCCAGCAGTAGCTGGATCTTGTTCGGAGGCTAACCGAGAGGTTTTTCATAGTTCCATTCAAGTTCCTTGACTGTCGGCATCCTTAATATGCAGGTAGCTACTATTCTCTGGAATTGCTATTCAAATGTCTTTATACTTTTCCCTTTCTTCCATCATCTGCTTTGGGTTACATCTAAGGGCTCCTTAGTTGTGGAAAAGAGGGGCCAAGTATTAAAATATCCTCTTCTACCCAAATATTAATGATGCCCAAGCCCTTTTACCATTTTTAATTTGGACCCCCTTGCTTACTGTTTACCATAGCTACTTCTCTCTTATAAGCCCTGCAGTTTCTGTAGCAAAACCTTCTTTCACCCAGTTCACTTGAGTGGCATCTCAGGAGGAAGGCCACCGTGCCTGTTGAAGTCCAGGATTGCAGCCACGCACCAAAACATTTGTATATAAAAAAATTCATTTCAGTTTTGAGAGCTCAAGGTCAGAAACCTAATTGCAGAAAGCATTACATGTTTCTGTGAAGTACATGAGGTAGACAGTCAGCCATTGGCCCAAGGCCACTCTATTATTGGCAATATGGCTAGAGACATTTACAAAAGCCTTTTCGTGATGCAGTCTTTTTATATGCGATGGGGAACCGGGCTTGTATATGACCTATCTGTGGGAACAGGCAGAGAAGATTTTGCAAACTGAAAGAGAATATTCTCTCTTCCCTCTTCCCCTTCAAAACTGTTGCTGTGATTAACACTGGTATATATTGTGATAAAGACTAATTACATATTTTGCAGTCAAGAAACTTGTATACTTGTAAAATCAATACAAACAATGACAGTGCAGAACAGAATGTGAACAAGAGCCAATTTAAAAGTAAACAAGCCAATGTAGACTTAGCATTCAAATTATGGTTAGTTTAAGGACATTATCATTACATATTATCACAGGTGGGCTTGTAAAATTTCCCCCGTCTTTTACTAAAACTGCTAGATCTGCTGACCCAAAGCAGATGCTAAATAGAGGCCCCGGCATTTGTGATGTGCTAAAAATTAAGTGCCTCTGCGCATGTTCTCAGTTCAGGAGTTTATGATCAGTACAGGAACTGAATTTCAAAAGTCATTTTGCACCAAAATCCTTGTTATCCCAAACAGGTGTTCTTCAGGAATGAAATGCAGGAAGCAGGAGGGGAAAGGTTTTTTAGCTGTTATTAACATGAAGCAACCAAGGATTAGACAACCTTAGTGATCTGCTACGTCCTGGTTATCTGAAAGAGGGAAAAAAACGTGCAAAAATCACAAGTAATCACAGAGAAAATACATTTTAGAACTCTTGGTTTCATCATCCCACCATTTAGATACTACACAGGTACTCGCAGCAAGATGTCACAAAGTCTACTTGCCTTTCAAAAAGCTCTGAAGACACAGTGTTGTCATCGTGCTTGGGGATCTGGTGGCGGTGTGAAGCCTGAAAGATGGTTGTACCGACTGATGCATGACCTGTAATTTCCCGCTAATTATGTTTTATGGTTTTAACTTAGCTTTAATGGCATTATTTATTGTGCTGGTTTTGTAATTTGTTTATTGTTCTGTGGTTGTTTTAATTATGTCAGCTGCCCAGAGTCACAAATGTGAGATGGGTGGCTATACAAATTGAATAAATAAATACAGTAAATAAATGTGACTGTAGAATTGTTTGTGCAGTCATTTCTCAGCTTCTGAATGTGTGTCATTTGGAACACAACTTGAATCTCTCTCTCTCTTTATGCCTTTGAGTCAGTTGACTCCTGGCGACTGCCTGGATTAGTCCCTGCAGTTTTTTTGGCAAAATTTTGGAAGTGGCTTGCCATTGCCTCCTTCCTAGGGCTGAGAGAGAGTGACTGGCTCAAGGTCACCCAGTCTTATATCTCTTATCTATCCCCTTTTCTCTACTGCAGAGAGCCACTGGCACTGCCTTTCCTAAAGCAGGAAGAACCAAACAATATCTCAACGTCAGCCGAGCAGCACTGTCCATCTTTCCAATATATTCTGTGTGCTGTTACCTCTCCAGCTGTCAAACAGCATGAGGAGACTCTCACCTATCTCAACCAAGGTAAGGTCTCAGGAGGGGAGGTGCAGGAGAGTGAGGAAAAGTGACCAAGTCCTGCTTAAAGGTTGCCCCCTGGTGGCAAACATAATAGACTACAACATTGTTTGTCAACCTTGGCCACTTGGAGATGTGTGGACTTCAACTCCCAGAATTCCCCAGCCAGGCATGGGGAATTCTGGGAGTTGAA